AATTATTTTATATATATATAAAATAATTACAAATAAATCTGTGATATATGACAGAATTTGAAATAGATATATATATGTTGCAGCCTTTTTGTATAATCAGCCTTTTTGCAAAAAGGCTAGCCTCTTTGCAAAAAGACGCCTTTTTGCATAACGCCTTCGAAAATGGTTATATATATATATAGTGAGAGAAAGAAAGAATTAGACAAAGTATGTACAATAAATATATAATTGTAAAAAAGCATTTTATCCAAAATTCTTCTAAAGTTTAATTTTACAATAATTCATTAAACAAATAAATATATATTCAATTTGTACAATTTGTATAATTTTCTTAGTCCTGGGATCAAGAATTAGAAACAATTGCGCAGAGATGGGCCAATCAGTGTATTAATAATTATGATTATTGTAGGAACGTAGGTGAGTAATAATTTATGCAATTAAATTTATAATCGAAAATTATGTAATAGCATATTATAATATATTTATTATAACAAATATTGTTCTACAGAAAGATTCAACGTTCTACAGCTTTTGGCGTCAAAATCCTCTCCGAACGAAAATAAATTCACTTTGAAAGACATGATTCAACAATGGGTTGATTCAATAATTAATTTCAGAGAAAATCTGTTTTCCAAATCTGTGTAAGTATTCAAATATTAGATATTCCAATCAGGCACATGTTAAATATTCTATTAATATTAATTGGTATTCGTTCTAAAATTTCCTAATTGATATTCGCGAGATCAATACCTGATAAAGCTTTAAACTTTAAATTAATGTACTTAACTTAAAGTTAACGTAATTGATCAATTTCTTTATTTTGTTTCAAATGTCAAAATTCAAGAAACGAGATTATGTTACCCAAAATTATGTAAGGTTGTAAAATGTATTTATAAACATTTTTCCACAACGCTGTCTAAAGATTTGACGCATAATTGAAAAAATCTCCTGATCCACTGGACCTATGAATACCGATTAAAGTTAATAAATATGTATATTAAAACATAAAACATTTAAATTAATTTATATAAATTCTTTTGATGACTTTAAAAAATCTATATATTAAAATATCGAAAGAAAAAATATTTGTGTATAAATTCTACAAATTTAAATAATTTTTAAAGCACATTCTTTGTGACACACACACATTTATTCAAAAAAAAAGAAAACTTTACATTTAATAAAATAATTTGTAGGAACCCTAGAAAGGTGGCAGAATTTTATTATGTTATCTTGGGTAACGCAACAAAATTCGGGTGCGGACAAATAAAATTCAAAAATCCAAACGATTTCACCACGCATAATCTAATTTGCAACTATGGTCCGATGTAGAAAAAGGTATATAAACTAAAGAAATGGATTTGGCATCCCCCCATAAATTAATTTAAAATGTGGTTTTACAACATAAAAGAAAGTAAACTTTTTGTATCAAATCTTTTATACATGGATGCTTTATCGTTTAAATTTTTATGGCAAAGCAATAAAAATTACATACATTCGACGATAGCTTATAAATAAGGATAACCTCGTGAAAAAATATTATTAAATTTGCGAAAACGCACGTGCGAGTAATAGTAATTAGAAAATCATTCAAATCTAATATTGTGTATTATTCCTTCTAATACTTTTTTAAATCTAACGTGCATTATTTCTTTTAATTCATTTTTCACTAATCTTATAATCTTTTCACAAAAAGTAGTGATTCAATTTAAAAAGTAACGACACGAAGGAAAACAAGAATGTGTAAAAATACATGATATGCTTGGTGCAGATGAATAATTACATCTGTTACAATAGTATTAATGAAAAATATCTCAATATTTCTGTCTATTTATTTACCTACAACCTATCTCTAATATTGTTTAATATAATATTTTCCTACAACCTGGTCGACATGCTAAAAAATTCCTGAAAAAGAAAAGTGATTTTCCGTAGATCTTTGAGCTGAAAATGATGCTATTCTCAAAATTTGCGTATTACATAACATTTGCGAGAAAAATTAGATACAATTTTTAAAAAACTTGTTTTTGACAATTTTTGAAAAATCGTAGCGAACAAACTTGAAGCATTAAAAACTTCTAAAAAATTTTAAATGAAAGTTTGAACATTGTGTTCAAACTTAATTAAGTATCTCCAAAATTATTATTTACCTGCGCCGTGTGCAGCAACGTGTGTTTATAGCGCTGTGTGCACGTCATGCGTTCACCCGACTGCACGGTAGGGCGAAAGTCGAGAAATTTAACAGCAGGAAAGATTGTATTTTATCCAGTAAATCTGCCATTAATAACTGTGAAAATTACTTCTGATAAAACAAGTTATAATAGAATAATAAAATTAACACTGTTATAAATAACTATGTACAATAATATATATTAATGTTATTATACCTCTCACGACATTGTATGTTCATCCCATACGATTTTTTCTAAAATTGCCAAAGACGTATCTCTTAGCTGTTTAAATCGCATTCTTCTCGAAAATATGACGTGATAAATACACAAATTCTGAAGACAACACCGTTTTCAGCGCTTAAAAATATATGGAAAACTTCTCTTTTTTTTTTCAAGAAACTTTCAGCATGTCGAACAGTGTTATTAATTAATAAAGTATCTGTTTATTTATTACTGTAATAATAAATTCTTAAATTATTCTTTATAAATGTTGCAATTTTACAACTGATATCATTTTGTAGCTGAAGATCAAAAACAAAATTTACTTGTCTTTCCGTCACGAACAATCATAAAATAAAATAAATATAAAAAAAATAAATTACACGCAAACCATAAAAAAAAATTTTTTTTAAATTATCGATTGTGATAACGCGCGTTGTATGATCACGCGCAGTGTATAAATTAGAATTTTCATTTCAAAGTTGCGTTTTCACATTACAATTTTGCAAGGTTTGGTGCTTATAGCCATTCAAAAAATAAAAAACATCAAAATCATGGCACTAATTTTCAGTATATTATGTCTTATTATAATAGCGCAAAACTTAGCGAATATATCTGCAACAGATTATTGCAATATTCAATCATGTAAAGAAATAGGAGCAGTTCATACAATGTGCATGTATACAGTAAAATTATTTATGTATTATTTATGTATAATATATATAATTAAATATACATTTAATTAATAGATAAAATTAAATTTTTTCTTTTAAATTTAGTTATAGTGTAGATGATTATTTTAATTATTTTTAATTAAAATTTAAAATTTTATTTTAAAAAGCTTCATTGCTGAGATTGCCTAACATCGTTCTATTAAAGAGCAGATGTTTATTTTTATTGCGCATACTTAATTCTACAATATCACATTACAGTCATCAACACCGGCGGCAGCATGTAAGCAATGGAGTAATCAAGGTCTAAATGATATTGAAAAAGAAGCTATACTAAAAAAACTCAATCAACTGAGGCAAAAGATCACGTCAAATTTAAAAAAGAGAGTAACGGGTCCGCTACAAACGACGATTTATATGCTAGATTTGGTAAGACATACCTAATGAATAATATATTATCATGGTACATCAAAGTATTTTCAATATAAAAGCGTTATTGCAAGAGAGATGAGTTCATGGTTTTAATCCAACTGATTCTCTATATATACATCATACAATTTATAATCATACAATTTAATTTCATTATATATATATATATATATATATATATATATATATGCTATATATATGTGATGAAATATAAATATAAAGTTATTACAAATAAATCTGTAATTTGTGATAGAATTTGGAATAGAGTTATATTTATAATTTTGCATAATTGTGCAATATACATTTATACAAAGTATATACGATAAGTATATAAGAACACATTTAGAACGCGATGTATAATATAAAACGTATTAAAAAAATAATGTTATTTTAAATTTCAGAGTTTAATCTTACAATAATTCCATTAAAGAAATAAAAATATGTTTAATTTTTACAATTTTTTTTATTACTTAGTCCTGGGATGAAGAACTAGAGACAATTGCGCAGAGATGGGCCAATCAGTGTATTAAAGATTATAACGATTGTAGGGACGTAGGTGAGTAGTAATTTATGCAATTACATTTGTATAATCTTGTTAAATATAATACATAATATATTTATTATCATCGCGCAGAAAGATTCGAAGTTATCCAGTATATAGCCTCGAAATCGTCTTTAGATGAAAATGAGTTCACTTTGGAAGACTTGATACAATCAGCGTATAATCAGATATTTGAAATGGGAAAACATTACTTTCCCACATTAATGTAAATATTTCAAATATTAGATATTCTAACATATTTTATACGTTTTATTAATAAATATGTATTTTAAATGATAAAACTTGTAAATTAATTTGTAGAAATTCTTTTGACATTAAAAATTCTAAATGTTAAAATATCAATTGAAAGAGAAGAAATATTCGTGTAGAAATTTTATCAATTTAAATATTTTTTTCAAAGTAGATCTGTGCAATACATATTTGTTAAGAAACATAAGAAAATTTTATATGTAACAATATAATTTTATTTTTATAAAATAATCTGTATTAGGAATATTGAAAACATAATGGAAGATTATGCTTATGGTCTCTGGGCTAACGTAACGAAAGTCGGATGTGGGCGAATTAAGTTCAAGAAGTCAAACGGCTTAACCACGCATCATGGAGTTTGCAACTATGGTCTAACTGGACCACACCAGAAAAAACTTTATGTAAAAATTAGAGAAATAAACTAAAGAAATAAATTTGGCCATCTCCCAATCAATATAAAAGATAAAAAGTAGCAATATGAAAGAAGTAAATTTTTTATGTATTTTTTTTATACATTATTATAATGTGTACTCAATATTTTAGAACCAGCGAATTAATGAAAATATCATAAACAAATTTTTGGTCAAAAGCAACATAATGTAGTTTATATTATAGATAAAAATATCTTTATGAAAAAATATCTATTATTGTACTTGTGTGCGAAAAAACGAATGAAACTAATCAGCAGGGCCGACGAAATAAAATGTTTCAATGTATTAAAGGTAGAGTGAAAGGAGCTAAATAAATTTTCTCATATTTTCTACCATGTGTTTTTTTTAATTTCTACATGGCAAAAGTAAAGGCTTTGATGTTATTTTTAACTCTAGAATCGTAGTATCACTTTTTTGCCTCCTAACCGATGAATGGGATACAAATGTAGCTATTCTTTATCATAGCATAAAATATTTTATATGTGGATTAGATGGTTCAAAAAAAAGTCAATCTTTTCGTTTTTTAATAAGAAAGAAAAGGACGTTAATTAAATTCAAATTCCTTAAGTGGAAGTTAATAAAAAACCGGTTTAAACAAAAAAGTGCCTAAAAATGACATTTTTCAGACAAAAATAGCTAACTTTTTTTTTTAATTAATCAATTCCAAAATTTTAAACGCGGTTTTAAAGAAGACATATTAGGCTATGAGCTATATAAGCTATATAAGCAATATATTATTTTGTTACTTAATTAAAAAAATTACTTTAGTTAAACGTTTAAATTTTGATCTCAATATAGATTTAAATACTGATTTAAAGAAGTTCATTTTATTAAGTTCATTTTATACAGAAGTTTATAAAAAATGTTTAATTACCTACTGACAAGATTGTTTTCATTTAAATTTTAATTGTCAATAAATATTTAGAATAATAATTTTAATGTTTTATGTTTATATCCGAAGCTATCTTATGCGTACATAGGT